GTACAAGGAACTAACTTTAATCTTTTAGAGTATAAAAATAAAACTGACCAGGTGTATTACTACTCAAGTCAACCGTTTGTATGTATGTCTGCATTTTTCTTTGTGTTCTGCGTTTGTGTTTTGTGCTCTGTGTTCATCCTCCGTCCTATAAACGGGCCATGACAAAGGTGCCTAGACTGAGGTGACATAGAGTGTAATATACGGCAGGGGTCGTATTTAATGCAGGTCTGCCTGACCCAGAGCTGAGCACTGATCCTGCACAGTGGCAGTGCCATGTGGTGGCTTGTCCTCAATGCTCTATGTATTTGTGACATAAGAAGAAGGCTCTATGTTTTCACAGCTTCTCATACTGGTTGTCTAGAATAACACATATGTGTTTGCCTGGAAAGATTTTCATTCCCTGTATTTGAAGACAAGAGGATCAGCCTGTATCATATCTTCCCTAGTTTTTGTTTGTTTTTCTTTCCAAAGGTTAAACACGGCAGTTTTCTCTGACTACTTCTCACAGCCTTATTTCCCATCTTGTTGAACCACCTCTAGTCCAGTGGTTCCTGACTCTGGCTACACACAGGGGACTCAATCACCTGGGGAAGTTTTTAAAAGAGATTCAAGTCAGGGCCTCCTGGATTGATGGACCAGAAATCTCTGGAAGGTGAACTGAACATTTTTATTTTCTAAAAAACTCTCTCAGAACATTTTAAGGAACAGCCAGTGTTAAAAATCACTGCTCCAGTTTGCTTAAAAAGTGAAGGATTGGTGTGAACATTGGCAGAGGCTCTCTGGCATGAAGAAAGAGAACCGATTTCTTCAAGCTATAATGATTATTGGACAGCATTATCTGTGGCATAGTCCACGTGACTTAAGAGACCTGGTCTCCCAGGGCAGCTGAATGCAAATGTCTCTCAAGTGTAGGATGGCATGTCAGGGTTTATAGACACAGTGGCAAACTAGAATGACGATTCCCATCGAATCCAGCCATGCTCAATGATTCACCTGAAATCCCTCAGGTCTTGAACATTGAAAACATAATTGAGTGTTTTTCAATTGGAAGTTTTAAGAAGTGAAAAACAGCTCTATCCCTTGTTCTCCTTTTTTGCTTTGTGTTCATACACCAGCAGGTGCCTTGCTCTTGCAGTGAGTGCTAATGAATGGTGCAGCTCAGCCCTCCACGCATGTGTGCAGATATGGAGGGATTATGCTGGAGTACTTCATTCATGCTGATGGTAAGGGGGGTCCTAACAACAGAGTAGTGCTGCTGGGATCATTAATATTTAGGCCTGGGAGAGATGGCCCTGCCTTGTTCTTTAGCTACCACCTCAGCAGAGAGGGAAACAAAATCCCTAAATTGTGCAGTTAGAAAATTAGACTGCGAAGGTTGTCTATGTGCCAACTTAAGATACAAAGTCACACACCTACCCTTGACAAGTATTAATAGAAGAGAGTGTCAAACATCATATCAATGTGCAAGAAAGTAGTTTTTTAAATCTACAAATTATTTTTTTAAAACACATTTGCCAGATTACACAAAAACTAGATTTTTTAGAAGAACAGAGTACCCAAAACTCAAATGCCCAAGGATGAAGAGATGGTTAAGGCTTTTTTTTTTTTTAATGAGTGGTTCTGAAGGTTCTTAGGATGAGTAAGATACAGATCTGATTAATTCAATGGGGCAGACAGGAAGGAGGGAGGAGGAAAGAAGAGGGGAGAGATGGAGAAAGGCCTGGATGGAGGAAGATGTTTGGACTCAGATTTTGGAAAGGGGGGTGAAGGAAGGAGGTTATCAGAAATTTACTTTTTAAGCTTATATAATCCCCCCCCCTTCTTTTTCTTGTTATTTCTCTCATGTGCCTATTTATCCTTGGATGTTTTGCCCAAAACTATTTTTCAAGGACCCTTAGAATTAAACTGAACTTTTTTTTTTTTTTTGACAATTTACTGGATGCCAGACTCCAGTTTAGGAGCTTCGCATATCTTTTTAATTTCCTTTAGTTCTCTCAGCACTGCGAGGTGAGAGATGATACTCCCATTTTGCAGACGGCATGAAGCGAAGTTGAGGAATTGCCCCAGATTACTCTGCTGGAAGAGGGTAAAGAACTCCAGCCTCCCGATACGGGAGCCTGGCATTTAACCACCCCAGTCCTGCTGGGACTCGGCTCCTCGGGCACCATCCCTGGACCGGCTCCGCGAGTTTCCACGTGGCCGGCCGCGTTCCTTCGCTGACATTCAGCACAGCGGGGCCGGAGAGCGCCTCTGGGGGAAGGAGACTGAAGGGCGGGTGGAACACGGCCAGAGACCTCGCCCCACGCACGTGTTGGTCCCAAGAAACAGGCGCGCCCCGCTGACATCGCCCAGGCGCGTCTATACTTTGCAAATCTTTTCTCACGAGAGCCTGTTTAATTCTCACCGCGGCCCTGCAAAGGGGATTATTTTGGGTCCCATTGTCCAGACGCGTAAAGCGAGGCTTTGCCTTCCCCGCGGTCACAGGGTCGGCAGGTGGTGGAGCCGTAGGTGTTTGCCGTGTCCCAGCGATAATAAAAGCTGCACGGGGTTCGACATTATTATGCAAAGCCGGCCGGGAGGCTTGGACTCTCCCTTGCACGAGCCCATCTGTCTCCGCGCGCCAACCCCGGGACTCGGAAGCCTGCGGGGAGCAGAGCCGGGTGGGTGGAGACGCGTCCCCGGCCGCTCGCCGGCCAACTCCGCGCGCCTTCCCGACCTGCGCCCCCGAGGCCGACCGCTCTCGGCTTAAAAAAAAAAACAAACGCAAAAACCCACCACCTCCCTTACACCCCTCCCGCCGCCCCCAGGGAGCTGCATTAATATTAATCTCCATGAATAATTGAAGTGAAGGCCGGAGATTTATTCGGGCTTCCGCGGGGGAGGGCGCGCAGCTGGGACGCGTTTCGGCCGCGCCACCGCGTCTTTCAGCCGCCGGGTTCCGCGGGGCCCGGACCCAGACGTGGGAGGATGGGGTGGGTGTGCCCGCCTGTGAGCTCGGGGGTGAGTGTGAGCTGAAGCGGATGTGCCGGGGGGAGGCGAGCGCCCGAGGCTGCTCCAGGGAGGCGGGGACGGAGGGGCATCCTGGGTCTCCGCGCCGTCGCCTGCGCTTCACCCCGCGCGAGGTGACTCGGGGCCACGCCGACTTGAGAGGAAACAATAGCGACTCCTCAGTTCCTGGGCTCCTGCCACCGGCTGCCCAGGCCTTCCCGGACGAGCGGCGGGGCCTCTTTTCTTATTCGGCTAATTTATGGCTAGAGGCTGGGGGAGGGACGACAGAGGAGGGATCGCGCCTGGGGATGGGGGGCGGGGGGCGGCGGTTAAAGGAGTCGCTCGAGGCGGCGGCGCGGGTGATGTCAGCTCTCGACGAAAATAGCGAGGGATCGCCTGCAAATCCCCAGCTCCGGCGGGGCTAAACCTTGCAATCCCTCCCCGGCCGGCTCCCAGCCAGGGCGCAGCGGCCTCCACCGCCTCCCCCGGCGCGCACACACCCGCACACGCGCGCACGCACGCTCACACTCCCCCGCACACACACTCACCGTCCTCCCCCTGCCACCACTCTCCGTGCCCGCCGCTCGTCGCACCCGCGATCCCCAAAGCAAAGCACAGGTGGCAGCGGCGGCGGCGGCGGCGGCGGCAGAGACGCATTGCCGGAGTGCGCCCTCCTACAGCCCCGGGCGCAGCGCTCTCTCGGGGAAGCCACCCTCTGCGCCCCCGAGTTCCCAGCCAAGCGCCACCCCAGCCGGCGGAGGGGAGCGCGGGTCGCGCGCCGCGGAGAGCCGGGACGCGGATTAGCGCCCGCAGGAGCCTCTTGCGCCCGTTGAGGCGCTAAAGGGCTTACCCGGGAGGGGGGTGGAAGGGCGGGGAGAGGCTCCCCCTTAAATACCGCTCCCGGCCACACTTGCGCTCACCCCGGCACCCGCTCGCTCCCTCGCCCGCCGCTGCCGGAGAGCGCCGAAGAGGAGGGGGCGTTCCCTAGACCATGGCATCCACGGAAGGGTGAGGGGGCTTTTCTCGGTACCCGCGGGGAAGCCGGGCCTGCGCGCGGGGTGGTGGCCCCCCTGTCCGGGATGGAGACTGAGAGACGTCGCCACCGGGCCTCGGAGACGGCGACGGAGCGGTGGCTAGCCTGGGGGTGGGATGGTGCGGAGGGGATTGAATTTCTTTGGTGGAGCTTGCTTCTTAACCCTTTGGAAGATGCGAGAGACGGAGGGTGGTTTTATTTTATTGAAAGGGGTAAGGTACGCTGGAGACATGAAAAAGAGTGTGAAGAAGAAATTCTCTGGAGGTTACTTTTGAGATTTCAAAACAATAAGGGATTAGGCACGGTGTGAGCTGACTCTGGCCGGGAAGCAGCGCCTGGAGCGGCGAGCGCGGCTCCGGCTGGAAGGTGGGGACCGGCCGGGAATGAATGAGCCCGGGCCAGGCTGGGGCGGGGCGAGGACCGGCGCGCGCGGCCTGGAGCGCCAGTTTGCAGGGTCGCCAGGGAGATCCTGGGCCCGCTCGCGTCGCTCCTTGTCCCGGGATGGCGGAATCTCCCTGGCCAGCTCTAAGGGAGCGCGGAAGAGATTTGGGTGCTTCCCGGGAGGAGGCGGGAAACGTGGTTTTGGGCAAGGGCAGGAGTCCGCAGACTCTGGCGGGTGTAGCGTTGGCTTCCCTATTTTGCCTGCGGCCCTGGAGTCGTCTCCTGCCTCCTGAGAGCGCAGTTGACTCGGAGAAAACTCCCAGCGATAAATAAAGACAGCTGTCGTCGTTAGCAAGAGGGCGAGGGGGATGCAAGAGGCAAAAGGAGTCCCTGAACCAATATCTCCCAGGAAACTTTTCTGGCTTGGTAGAGCCTGAGTGGCAATTGAAAGACTGGTTCGGGAGCTCGGCTTTTTGGTTAATTCTTAAAATTGCACTGGCCACTTGCAAAAGACCCCAGGATCCATGTTATGTGAAACGCAAATACCAGGGGCTCCTCTGGGCTCAAGTGGAGAGTCCTTGGTGCTGACCCTTTCCAGTTTCTTTTGATGCATTTTACCAGCTCTGCAGGCTTGTTTTAGGGAAATGGGTCTGCAAGCAGGAGTGAGGAGCTGTGTCCAAAGCCAGATCTCTAGACTCCAGCCTCTGACAACGGGAAAATATTTCTAAAACTGTCTCTCTGTGTCCAGGAGAAGGAACCCTGGAGTCCTTCCAGAGAGCTCTGGCATCTTGTCACAGCACGAAATTTCTTTTCTCTTTTTGTCCTAGCAGTTCAGCAGTATGGACCTTTTAGATTATTTCTTCTCTAAAAGGATGCACCAGAAAGACACCTGTGTACAAGGAGGGTAGTACCTTTTGCTAAAACGGATCGCTAGAAATAAATATTAAGATCCCATATGCCTCAACATCAGTGCCTTCCCTTGTTTAATTTAGAAGGCTTCCATAGTAGCAAAGATATAGAGGCATTTCTGGGTCCCTTCAGGGCCCTTCTAGATGTACCCTGCTTGTGAAGGCTAGATTGGAAGACATCTGTGAAAAAGATGGATGATGATACTCTTTCAAATCCTGTGTCCAACTTGCTCCCTATTTTGAAGACCAGACAGAGGAGGGAGAGGTTAAGACAGCCACAAAAATCCCCAGACTAAGTATGTTTATCTCACCTTTGTCCTCAAAGAGACAAAGAGAGCTGCCAAATGATTTGACATTAAATATAATGCAGAAGTGATTTTCAGCATTCCAATTAATGCCATCTTTGTGCACTGTGCATGGTTAAGAAAAGATTGGCCGAAGGAACTTGAATTTAAGAGATGAAAGAATTGGAAAAATTTGGAAGGCTGGGAAACAAATATAGAAAGATCTTATGACCCATCATTGTTTAACAACAGGAACTGATGTACACGCGACATTCTCAAAAGCGCTGGTCTTTCCTTTATTCCTCTCTTCTTTCCTTTTGTCTTTTCTTCCAGGAACATTTACTGAGTACTTAGTGGGTAGAACTACCAGTACTACTGTACCAGAACTACCAGTACTTACTGGGTAGAACATGTAAGGCACTCTGGGGGACACAGAGATATAAACAGTCTAGGAGTCGGGCTTATAGACATTTAGCCCCAGCTGATGACTTTTATTAGTAAATTGTTCATGTGGGTTGGTGCAATTCTCTTGCCTGTTCTGATATCTTTGGTTAATGTGGCTTATAAAGGAAAATTCACTAAGACTCCTGGGGCTGGTTTCTTTTGTTAGCCTTTGCCCTCTAACAATATTGAAACTGTTTCCTTGAAGCATACATTGCTGAGAAGGAAGCAAAAATAGCAATGTAGTTATATACTTCCAATTTATGTATTTTCAGTTCAACTCTGTTTGATCCAGAATGTTTGGGGAATGGGGTAATATGGCAAACCAACCATTCTGGGTAACATTTCTTCAGTGATGTCATTACCATCAACAACATATGTTGATTACCAATTTTTAAAGAATTATTAGAAGCAATAGTGACGTCTTGTGTTTGTTTAGCACTCCACTTTCAAAGCTCATTTTGGTACATCATCACATTTGATTCTTCCAATAAGTCTGTGAAGCAGGCAGTCCAATGAAAATAGACTTTAAATATAAAATTATATATATAGAATATAATGTCATCTTTCCAGGAAGATTCCAGGACTTGGCAAAGCTTTGAGGTTATCATCTGGATATATCAGTTATCATTGAAGAGCGTGCTAGGCATGGTTGGTGCAAAAGATTATTGGCTTTCTCTCAAAACTTTGGCATACATATCCTGCAAATTGCCTTTTGGAATATTCTTTTTATAATCTGTGCACTTGGTCTTTGCTTTTGCAGAGCAGACCCAACCATTGTCTGGTTACTTGAGGGTTTTGATTATTTGGAATTGGGATTATTAGCATCCAGTGTCTATAAAAATCAACAGTGGACTCTCTGGTAGTTCCCAGGCCTTAAGAGGTATTTTCCTACAAAGCAAGGTCTAATTTGGTAGTTGAACATTCTCTTTTTCTGATTTTCCCTGTCATGGCTAGAATTACTGAGATGGCTTTTAGGTCCCTGACCCAAATTGGAAAGAGATTATAAGTAGTTGGTGGCAGACAGGCTAGTGTCTGTTATTGACTGGGTCACCGTGGAGTGTCCAAATGGTGAGGAGGCAGGCATTTTAGAAATATGTTCCTGGAGGTGGCTAGGTCACCCCATAAGCCAGCGACTCAAGGCAATTTGTTTTCTGATCAGCTCTCAGGAGCCAAGGGGTCAGGGCGAAAGCCAACCACGAGGGCTTGGGTTTCAGTTTGACTTAGAGAGCAAGTGAAACAGAAAACTGCTGACAGCAGAAAAACCTTGGCAGAGGAGACCCCCTGAATTTATTATTTCAAGCAAACAAAAGCAAAACATAACAGTTGTCTTCTGCCTCTCCCGTTGGGAATGAAGTTGAGGTCAGTCGGTGGAGCAGACTTATTGGAAAGTGGGTAGAGGCCAAGGCGCCTGGGGTCTAGAAGGGTTTGCCTATTGCATGCCTTAGGCTTCGCTGGAATTTTCATTTCTCATTTTCCAGAATATAGAAATTGGCATCCTTGGGTAAAATAGATGTTAGTAGAGCTATGAGAAAGCTATTTTATGTTTACTAAGACAGTCTCTCATGAGTAATTGGAAGCTTAATTCTGAAGAAATAATTTCTAAATCCAAATGAAACTTGGGAAGCAGAAATGCCGGGTTATGAAAAAGCAAAAAATAGGTTTGTTCATCAGTATCTGTGGCCCCTTCTCTTTCTCTTTTATGCAACACGATTAGGTGTTGTCTCTGCTGACTTTGGCTTTAATGGATGTGTTAGACAAGGAAAAGTCCTTAACAGATGATTCTTCAGCTGAAGAAACAAGCAATATATAACAGCTAGGTGTGAGATTTCTGGGTCAGTGTGCCATCAATCCTACAGTTCCAGGATTGCAAAACCTTTTCATATTTCGCTGCTCAAGGTTGATTTCAATGAAAATCCCCCTTCCCCACCCTCCTCCATGGCTGTTTCACACAATGCCTGGATGTCTGTTTTCCCCCTTTAAAGGCAAACTAGATTGTTTCTCATATTGAAATTTCCTCCATTGGACTGGCTTGTCTCTCGGAATCAACTGAATCTACTCTTCGTTTCAATTGCCTGCTTTAATCATTTTTAATCTAATAAAACACCAACAATCTTGCAACTTCTAGCAATAGTAGGCAGAAGCATCATTCTTGAGATAAAATTTTAGTTTTGTTTGCATTTTCAGAACTTGTCCTCGCAGTCTGAAAAAAAAATCTAACAAATGCCAGACACTGCCTTGCTTTCAGCCTTTGCTTCCATGCCCTTAACAGCTTGTTGGGGGCAGGCAGCATGCTTCATAGAAAGGGTTTTAGAATCCAGATTATGGCAAATCTCTTTATTTACCGGGATCCTGAGCTATTCTCTCCTCCCTCTGCCCACCCTTCACCCTGCAACTCTCCAAGTGCCAAGTCCTTGGAATGAATTAATTAAAGGAGTGTTTAAAAATATCTCATTGCTCCATCTCCACGTACTCCATCATTGATTGGAGGCAGATGGGCTGCATATTTGTCGGTAGAATAGAAAAGGACTAGCATCTCGTTATAAATCTGTCTGGTTTTAAATGATGTCAGAAAAGACAATGGGCCAGCAGTATTAAAGGAGAGTAAAGGATAGATCTTGAAAATTTCGAAAAGAATACCTCACTTTATTAGTGCTTTGTTTTATTTTTAATGTTGTTTGTCAACTGTGTTGATATTTATTTATTTTTCATTCATTTATTTATTTAACATCTCATTTAGATAAGCAGATATGACCGCTATTTGCTGAACTGCCGTCTGGTGTTTTTGGCTATCTCAGCAGCTGCTTTGGATTATAGACTCATTGAGCAAGGACTGTCCTTTAAAAACACAACAGAAAGGAATGAACTCCATTTTGGCAGCTGGACTTGACCTGTGTCAGTCCGGGTCCTCTCTGGGATACACGACGGCAAATGTTAAAGACCTTGAATGAAGTCCTTAGG